AGAACCAAAACCCACAACCATACAACACAGGATCAAACTTTATCGATAATACTTTAAATTGTAATTACTAAAGAAACCATAAATTTATTAGGATATKTATACTTATTATTTTACAGTAATGAAAAAATTACCTATACAATGTTGTAATCTAGCAATGAACACTCCGTTATTATTACATAAATAAACATTCATACTAAAGATTAATTTTTCWCAGGAAAGAAAATCAAATATCCCAAGCTAACAAGGTAGGAAAATCTTAGCCATTTAAAGTTAAGTTTGAACTATGATATCAAAAGTAATCGTAGCTGAGAAATATTGTCAAGTAAAAATTGCACACTCACTCGCTCACACAATGCTAAACCGACGGATAACACCTATTATTTCCAAAGAGTCCTATAATGTATCAAAGTAAAGACCGAAAAATAATATCTTAAATCGGAAAAACCTAGGGAAAAACGAAATGCATTGAAACTGACCGGACCAAAWTAAAAGAACTATGCAAAGTATTTAAGCTAGATAAATTTTATACAATTGCTGTTCTTCAAGAACAACACTATTTTGAGCCCCGTATTTTGCGAACAAAACAACGGGAGAAAATTGAACACATTTGCTGTGAACAATTATCAATATTTGTATCAATGATATTGATTCAAACATTGAAAAACAATAATAATAAACATAAATAATAATGATAATAAATGATTGCAGAAAATTCTAGGCTAAGAAGCTACCACTGGTTCAAGCTATCGCAGTCTTGGTATACTGTAAAGGCAAGTTGAATGCCACGACGTACCACAAAAGAATATTACAATATACATTTAAAAACTCGACCCTTTACATAAAGATAGTGTCGTGACATTCGATGAACGAGGTTAGTAATAATATTAATTCTGGAGGATTGCTATTTCAATGACACGTGTATAGCCAAGGTTTGTTGTTTCGAAAACAAAAATGAGTGGAAAAAAGAAGGAAAGAAAAGAAAAATTGATAGATGAAAGGATGGACAAAAAATGGAAGGAAGGGGAAAATGAATGAAAAATAATAATAATAACAAAAGTAATAATAATAAAAGTAATAATAACAAAAAAATTAACAATAACAATAATAACAATAATGATGATGATAATAATAATAATAATAATGATGATGATGATGATGATAATAATAATAATAATAATAATAATAATAATAGACGATGAACTTGAAGACTGTATTTGAAAACATGTAAAATATAAATATTAATGSTAAAAAATAATTTTTTAAAAGTGATTTGGTGTTCAATTTATACAACTAGAAAGTAAGTATCTATATCTATATTTGTATCTTGCCACATCTATACATAAAATCAAGCTAAAAATTTCTAGTATAAATATATAATCAATGCAAAGAATATTAAGAAATAATATTAAGAAATAATAAGTTTGCAGCAATTGTTAATATTTTCTAAAACCTTAGATAAGTGCTTTTTTCTAAAATTCAATTTAAGAAAGTTGATATACTTATTAGTACAAACTGATGGAACGGAAGAAGAATTTATGAAATGAAAGAATGAATGAAAGAAAGAAAGTAATGAAGAAAGGAAAAAAAAAAACCAGAAAGATAACCAGATGCCAATCTTTTCAATTTTAACCGTTTAGTAAACAAGAGCCAATTTTTAATTTAGATACCGCGAGAATGATACATTTATTTATTTTTAAATCCAAAACCAGTTCCCAGCTCCCTCTTSCCTGCTCCGCCGCCCTTTTCCGTTCTTGACTCCAGAGCCGACAAAAGGGAACCAAAACAAGACTTTGGGCAAACCTCGACTGTGCCAAAGTTATTGATGTTGCAGGTAACCAAGAAACCAGTCACTTTCCCCCTCGCTATCGTGRAGAGAAAAAGTGACCGTTCACTCGTGTCACATAATACATGGCCGGCGCTAACCTTAGGACCGAAAGACCGAACTAAACCCTAGGCGCAGTTTAAGATGGTGTGTGAGATGAAAAACACCGACCAGCACTGCATAAAAGAYAAATAGCAAATCCTCCATTCTAAATCAAACAAGACGTATTTAATAAATTTGTTGATCCAGGTCGTCTCCAGGTCGTCTCCAGTACAGTCCAAGGTCGCCTTCTTAAAAAAAACTAACCTAAAATTGGCCAATTGACCCTGGCAAATGCCAGTCAAAAACACTAAACCCCACCTATAAATTTACACGTGGTAGCTTCTCCTATGTATTTGTTAGGGCTTCGTACACTCAAAGCCCCGCTAATCCTAGACCTTAACCTAGTAGTTTTTTTGACTTGCAATAGAGGTAGAACCAAAATTTATGGATGACATGTTTTATGAATGATTATTGCAGGTCAAAGATATATTTTATTCTGTTCCATATTTGATTTAGGAACCGCCAAGCAACCCCCTTCGTCATAAATACAAGGCACTGATATCTCTAGCAAGTGAAGTGAAACATAATGAATTCAAAAGTGCCAACGATGAAATAATTTTAGGAAACAATTTTGAAACTTGCTTAAGAATCGCGTGTCAATATTATTTACTCTTTTTTCTAAGTTGACCATGTGTAGTTTCCATGAAGCTTGCTTGAGGCCATACCTGGAATAGAAAAGAAAACGTGCTTGTGTAAACGTGGCTCACTCAAATATAAAATTGGGAAACGTTTTTCATACCAATTAAACGTTAGAAAGTCTGAAATAATTGTTTTCCTAAGATTTCTAAGACTTTTAAACATGATCCCCACTTCTCTCTTAACCAAATAGTTTAGTTAAGCTTATAACGGCAATGAAAAATAATGAGCTTATACAAGTCTTCCTATAAGTGTAGCTTGGACGCTCCTTGGACGCTAGAAAATTTGCCTCAGTATCCGAATGAAGTAATTCTTTCTGTCTTTGTTTAATGAAGCAATTTCTTTATATCGAGAGTAGTACGAGAAATTAAAAAAAGGTTTTGGTACATCTTAACTGAAAGAATTCTAATTCAAACATTAACTATTTATTAGCAGTTTTGTTTTTCGGCGACGGCTTTGCATAATTTGCAATTTCATAAAATAACAGTTTAATAAGTTTTTGAAAAGGTTAGAGCAAATTCATAACAAGAAATTTGTTCTAAAAGTTTAGCTTTATCATTATCATGTACAATAAAGCTCATAAACGTTCTCAAATGAAAGGTTTTTACTTGCAAACTTACCATGTTTATCATCGTCCAACTGTTCCATCTTTGCTCGTCTTGTGAATGAATCTGCGAATGCAGGCGAAGGTTGTCCAAAATCTTGATCATGTGATATTTTGATGTCAATCACCCCTATTTCGTCCAATCATATGGTAAGATCAAGGAATCATGTATGGTGCACGTGGAATACTTCAATATGATTGGTCAGTTACAGCTGAGAAGAGAGAAGTCATGGATGCAGGAATGCAAATCTCGTGCATGCTTTCAATTTTTTTGTTCAAGTCTCGCTGCTGATAAACCTAGGTGTTAAGATTCGAAAAATTTAGGAATTCACGGGAATTGCATATCAGGCAGTACGATTTACTCTAAGGCAAAACAAACAATCAGGCCCCATCCAAATACGGTATCGCACGGAACCTTAGTAGGTGATAAATTAAGGCCCCGTCCACAGCAATGCTATTTTGTTTGGAAACACAGACTTTTCGATGCCTTGTTGCCTTTGCGTTCACGGAGACTATAGTGTAGACAGCAAAAACGTATGATTTCCGATCGCACCCGCGCTTTTGAAAGGCTATGAAGACCTGACCAGGCTGTAAGTCCTCCCGGGGATAGCGGTGTTGGGGTCGAAATCTCTGGCATAGCCGTAAATGCTTCGCGCTGCCATACGACGCTTCAGCATTCAAGGTCTGGGAGTATGGTCTTCGGTTATTTTTGATTCATCAATAAAGATAAAAATAACGAAATTTTTATTTATCCAAATGCGCATTTACTGGTACACCTCCAGGAGCCCAAAAAGAGAACATTAATATTTCATTATTGAATTTTCCTATCCCCGGATATCTACCACGGATACTATCATAGTAAGTAACCTTTTTAAACCATAAAGTTTTCTGTAGGAAGTTCAGGTGTAGTGCGAAGTCGACATGCTCTTAACAGCGTCTGCCTGGAGATTTCTTTACCTTTGCCTTAAGAGGAGCGAATCAGGAAGAGAGAAAAATGGCTAAAAAATAAAGGGAGAAGGAAGTAAAGGAAAATTTTAGGGAAAAGGGAGAGCCATTATATTAAAAAGAGGGAGAAAAATCGTTATTATCCAATTTATTCAAAGCGCGAGGGAGAAAAATGGCACAGAAAAAATGGAGAAATATTAAATTCCCATTTCTTACCCATCCTTTGAATAATTAAGTTTTACAACATTAGTTTTATCATTATAATTTAATCATACATAAAATCGAAATGAAAAACAAAATATTGGCAACTACCATATTGATGCCCCCCTCCCCCTCCAAGGCAAAATCCTGGCTATGCCCCTTCTCATACTTTAATTTATAGTGAATGATTCCCTTATTCAGATCATATTCCAAGTAGGTACAAATCTGGTTCATAATTGGATATGCTACTATATGGATCTAGTCTATCTCATTCATTCCTGATTCATAGTTCATTAGAGGCCCCTATGCACATAGCCCAAATGGTAATAAAGTTCAGTTTTCCCCCAGAATAATCCCCCCCAGTTTCTAGGGAATTTTTTATCTTTTACATTCTTGTAGATGCTATTATCTACATTTTCAGTATTTTCATGGTCTGTATTGAGCAGATGAAATGAGGAAGAGTATAGATTGCAGTATCTAATTAGCGCCACCCACTCTAAACCCCAGAGTGCTGTCATTCTGTCAAAATGCCATGAAAAATATAGCTTTATGGTTATGAGTAGCCTGCACAGTGGCCCAAAGGGGTGTATATACATATATAATACATATGCATAATTTTGGTATTATACGATTGGGTTGGGCCACTAAGCAGGCTAGGTCATGACTGGAGCACTACCATTGCAAAGTAATTTCTATCTAGTTCATTGCAGAAAGTTTCATAAATCCTATACATAATTTGTAATATTTTGTTTTTGGTATGAGTACTTGTAACTATATTTCTCAGATATGAGAATGAATGAAAGTACTTTCTATATGTATTCAAGTCTTCCTGCAAAGTAACACTCTATAATATTGGAATTGTTAAGATATTAATAAATCATGCAATCAGTAGCCAAAAGATAAAGAGGAATGCAACCCATAAGAAGAGCTTTGAGAGGAATTGTTCATCTTGTGCCTGGGGAGAGTCGGGYGTCTGTGCTTGTTGGTTACCATTAGCAAATGTCTACAAAAAGACAAACAAAAAACAAAAAAAACAACAAAATACTGGTAAGATTATCATGTACATGAATGCAATATCTGCTTCAGAAAAGGTAGCCTGCATAGCGGCCCAAATTGGGGGGAGGGGTGGGGGGCCTGTGGAGGAGGAGACCAGGGGGAATGGGGGGGAGGAGAGGTTTAAATTACTGAACAATTAATTGAATACTTACTGAGGTAAAGAAAGCAAATGGAAATGCACCAATCCCAAATGACAGCTGAAACCCTTCACCGAATCCTTGAAAAGGCTGGGGAAATGAAAGCAGAAATTAAGAATAAATAAGTGAAAAGCAATGGATGGATGGATGGATGGATGGGGGAATGGAAGGGGGAATGGGTGGGAGGGTGGAAGGATGGATAGATGGATGGGTGGGTGGATGGACAGGGAGAATGGATGGATGGGTAGAAGCATGGACGGATAGATGGATGTGGTAAATGGATGGATGAATGGATGGATGGGAAGAATGGATGRATGGATGGAAAGAGGAAGGGAGGGTTGTATAGATAAATGAATGGATGGGAAGAATGGATGGATTCATATGAGCAAGGATTGGATACTGAGAAAGCGATGAGCTGCCTGAGGAGAAGGGTGGATGGGGAGAAGGAAGGGATGACTAAAAAAATTATAACAGGTATTCTTAGAGTACATGCAAATACACTWACCCCATTATTTTCTGGTTCTGTTCTTCTAGCTTGTGGTCTTGGAGGCATTTTCTCCCTATAAATTATAATGAAAAAATATCATTCAAATCTAAACTGGTATGAGATTATTTTCATGCATTCATTGATATATTTAATGATAATAATAGAGTCAATAACATCTTTACGACTCATGTACATTATGTTTTTTGAAGGCTCTATAATATTCTTAATACCTTGGGTCTTGTTTTGAATTACTTCCACGTCCAAATAATGGGATAACTTTATCTTTGCTAATGCCAGCTTTACATACAGGACACACTGATTTGTTGGGTCTGGTTTCTAGCCACTAAAGAAAAACCAAACAAAAATGCCACCATGAAGGTATTAAGTAAAATAATAATGTTTTAATATAATCAAAGAGGTAATGATTGGCGTCGAAATATTATAAGAGAGGGAAAATTGTAGATTTGATAACCACGGCGGGGGCAAAATAACAGAGTCTGTTATAATATACCAAGCTTCAATTTGATTTGATATATTCTTTGCTTGCACATGACGTCATAGCCACCATTTTAGATAAATTTAACAAAAGCCTTGACTGTTATATCCACCAACATGGCCGCCGTGTTTTAATATATTTTACTCCTTTGGGAATGATTCACTTTAGGACACTGTAGCTCCTCGTCAGATTTGGTTTTCTTATAGAAATTCGTAACCCCAATTCAGACCATAATGAAGTGGGGGAAAAAGAATATATTTTATGGCATATCGAATAGTGATCGTAGTGTACACATTGCACGATCTAAAGCCTTATAAACTGAATCATCAAATTCGATAAATTATGATGTGATGCAATTATTCTAACGAATTACAAAATATATTTAAGCTTAGATATATAATATTACTTACTCTGTGTAAGCAAGGCCAGCTGTAAAGAAAAGGGAAGTGTTTTTATTAGTCAAAAAAAGTTAAAAATCAATCGAAAAACTCTCGACTTAGATATAAAAAAATGATTTTTTCATGTCATTTTTCGACAACCATCTCGAGTGTTTACGAAATCGCTCACCAAAATAAGTGTCCACATAAACTAATGACAGCGTCTTTGGCCGTATCCAGACAAATATTACATTCAAAGTTAGCGTTATGTTCTTCGTTTTCGTGTCCAGAAGCCGTTGCTCCAGCGCTAGATGACGGAATATTTGAGAAGCCTTCGTTTTGACTTCCTTCACTGTGAGTCGCCATCTTGTTTCTCTTTAAAAAGCCTCGCTTGGGTGACCGCGTCATTTCATAAATACGTCATTTCTTCTTTTGCTTTCTCGCCATTCTTCTTTTTTCCTTTTGTTCTTTTCTTTTCTTTTAGTTCCTCTTCTTTTGCTTTCTTTTATCTCCCTTTTCTTTCCTTTTCCTTCATTGTTGTCTTTTATTTGCTTTCTTTTCATTTATTTCTTTTTCTTCTATTTTATTTTTATATTCATTTCATTTCTTTCTTTCCTCTAACAAATGTACCCTCAATTTTCACGTCACCCACACAATTTTTTTCTCTTTTCTTTTCTTTCTTTTTTCTATTACTTTTTATCATTTTCCTTCTTTTCCTTTCTTTAATTATATTTGAATTTTTTCTTTACTTTTTAATATTACTATTTTTTTGCTTTTTCTTTCTTTTCACTATTTTTGATTTACTCCTTTCCTTCCTTCCTTTTCTTGCTTTTCCATTCCTTTTCTTTTCCTCTTTAATTTCCTTTGCTTT